AAATAGAAAGAAAAACTTTCTAAATCAATCCTTCCACAATCCTAGGAATATATACAATTCTATTTTCAGATCTGAACCAGTAACCCCACATTTTCCAACAGAGACTCCTTAAGGGCAGAAGTCATGGCCTTGCTCCAAGGCCTGAAATTGGCGAAACAATGGGGAATGCAACACTTAGAAGTGGAAGGAGACTCCAAGCTGGTAATAGGGTGGATACAATTTGGAAACTTGGGAGTATGGTCACTTAGGCAACCTCTAAGAGAGACTATTAGCTTAGCAAGGGAGATTGGGTGCATTTTAAATGGATAAAAAGGTCAGCAAATGGAATGGATGACACTTTAGCTAAGCAAGGAGTTACTAGGGAGGCTTTGTTTTGGGCTTGTTTGTAAAGTTCTTGCTCTGATGTTCCACCCATCCTGTAGGTGGTAAAATTGTAATTGTAATTTTATTTAAATCCATCAATGAAAGTTACCGTTTCCTATAAAAAAAAGGTATAGGAGTCATTGTCCTTCTTTACTATGGTTACCATTTTCCTTCACTTTCATCCTTTCTTTTTCTTTTCTGGTAGACTTCTAAAATATACAAAATTTAAGTTAATACCAATGAAGGTGTGGGTAAAATAAAGATTAAGATCATGATTTTAATCCCAGTTCATTTATAGATAAGCTCAACTCAGCCTTAACCGCAACTATTTAGGGTTCACTATTGTAATTTCTACCTAATAGTTAGTGACTTGGTGTTATTTGTAGCCAATGCTAACTATTAAATGGAGTCCAGTATGTCTCAGAAAGATCAATTTAACCTGAACAAGCTCTTGCCCATATGGTGAAATCAGTGGATTCCGCACACTTCAGACCTGTACACCCATTGTTCATACATATTCGTTAATAGAAAGCTGACTCCATGTGTACCACCTCTTATATGAGCTGGAACAAATAGTCCAAGACAAATTGGTCAACAAAGCAAATTATTGCCTGGAAGTCCAATACTTCTATAGAGACCTTCATGTTGTGAGATATTTATCTTTAGACCGTTTCTTCTGATAGAGAAGCATGAACCCAACTAATGAACAATCAATCCTACATCGCCTATTGCATCCCACCTTGTGAGCCACAGAAGGTGATAATACAGATGACCATCTAAAATAGGTCATTTCTAGCATTCTCGGATCAACAATTTATCCATTGCAGTGTAACCCCATAACCCATTTCAAAACCCACCTTCTGATCCCTTTTACTAGAACTCTCTGAGGGTCTAGCAGCAAAATTGCCGCAGTTTCATAAGAAATCAAAGGAAGAATTTCACACGATTTGAGTAAAATCTTCTGAGAAGCAAATTATCTCGCCTTAATTGTCGTAGAATCAATGATTTAATGCAAGTGATGAAGGGAAGATGGATTCGGATTTTTCGAAAAGAAAAAGAGCAGAGGCAGCACAAACACACCTTTGAACCTTGTTTTCTCTGCTTCAGTGTGAAGCTGGTCGAGTTGGGTTCGTAGCTCCTCTGTCTTGCTGATTTTCGTTCCCATGCAGAGCGTCCCCCAAGGAGGCCTGCGAGCTACAACAATTGTACCAGCGTTCAATATCATATCTCTCTCTCTCTCTCGCCTGGCAGCTGCAATTGCAACTCGCGTGTGCCGATTACCATTACCAAGCCCATCCCTGTCGAGATCGGCTTCAGTGCTCACAACTGTGCTTACACCATTCGCACAGCCTTTTTACACCGTGCATTGGGAAATATTCCCAATGCAAGGCTGACAGTGAGCACGGGCATATCAGCACTGAAGCCGATTTGGGTGATAGAACTATTAGAACTTTAGACTTAGAGGAGTCCAAAACCGAAAGTCCGATTATTTCTCATTTCGGATGATCCATTTATGTAATCGGATCCAATGCAAATCAAACCCGATTAAATAAAAGGTGCCAACCGGTTGGTTGGTAATTGGTAACTGGTAAGGTCTCCTACTGATTGTAGACTTGTAGTGGTGATTTGGGATCGAATCCCGTCTGCATCTGGATTGAGGGTTTATGGGTTTGGGGTTTATGAGTTACCCCGTTGTCATACTGTGATACCGCAAAGGTTTTAACCAATCACAACCCCGTGAATTTTGATTAAAATCCACCTGATTGGTTACTAATTTTACGATGCTGGTCCTAAGTTTTTGATTGTCGACCATCCAATATCTTGGGAACTATTCTATGTTGGTTTCTTATAATTCATCAAAAATGAGAGGCATGAAAATCAAGACAATTTCAGCCTTTGTGCAGCTGCAAATGATTTGAAGAATTTACCATTGGGCCTGGATTGTGAAGTTAGGCCCATTTAAATTTTAGCAAAATTTCAAGCAGAGCCCACCCAACTTGCACCCTCGTCTAGGCAACTCCATTGAACAAAAGGGTTTGCCTTTGTTGGCAAAATCAAGAAAATATGTTAGCAATTGAAGAATGCAAATGAACAGAATATTTTGATAGATGGCGCATAACACTATTAAATTGATGTGGAAGGAAACTCAAGCTAATGAGTTTTGAGTCAAACATGGTTCTTTTTTCAAGTTAATGGCTTGTTTGGTTTGAAGGAAAAAGCAAGGAAAGGAAGGCAAAGATAGGAAAATCTATACAAGATTTGTAAAGGAAAATCTACATTTCCTTTCCTTCAAACCAAATGCAGCCTAAATTTCTGAGTTCCATTGAATCACTTCTTATAATGAGTTTTGAGCCGTTAGTTGCAATAATTTTCAAGTATTCAAACTTGAAACTAATCCTTAGAATCACAAAGTAATTAGAGTTAATTCTTTGGAAGCATGTCAAACACAAATTGGCCCTACCTGAGCAAAAGACCCAAACAACAACTTGCCAAAACCTATTGGTTAAATCCTTTAGAAAAAAAAAAAAAACAAATGAGATATTTGATTTCACAATCTTAGATTATATTCTGACATTTAACTCGAGTCTCCTTTTTATCAACCATAAACCACCTTATATGGAATACATGCTTAATGTTTTTTCCTGCACCGTTTGAAAGCTTCAAGGTTATGTTTGGATTAAGGAGAAAACAGGGAAAACAGATAAGAATGGATTTGTTGTTCGTGTTGAATTCTTTAGCAGAACAGAGCTGATAAGCTAGGAGATTTAAGTTTGTGATTCTAAGAATCAATTTTAAAGAGTTATTATCTAAAACCCCCTTCACTTTTCCCCATTTCTATTATACTTTACCTGACTTAACTTCGGACAATTTTTGTCATCTAACACTTACTGATGATGCGCAATCCGGCCGGTCTTAGCTGTCAACGACCTTGCCTCTGAATTGAGTAACTGGGGACCTGAAACGGGGGAGATGAAGAAGCTCTGGGGAGAACCCGGTGTAGAGGCTCCGAAGCTCAAGTTAGAATCCTTCAAAGGCAAGATAAACCAGATAGCGCAAAGTTTGCATACCT